CACCGCGGTATTTTTTCTCGGTTCGATACATGGTACAAAATCTCTACTTTCGGTTCAGTTCGTTTTTCGGTCGGGAACGTCATTCAGTCGGGTTTGGCATAAGGTACAAACATGCTTCTCTGTGTAATTACTCATTTAATTAGTTCAAATTCGTAATCTTTTGTGGACTTAAAGTTTGTAAAATGATTTTTAATAGTCAAATCAATTAAGGTTAATTTTTCCATCCATTTTGCACATAAATTCTTTGACTTGATTAAATAAAAAGAAGGATAAAACAGCAGTTGAATTTGTTTCCTTCTATCAATTTAAATGTATCATATCGAAAATAACCGAACCGAGACCAAATTTTTCGATACGTATTGAACCGTGAAGGAGGCGTATCGTTTCACCCCTAACATTTGTTACCTCAGGAACTCCAAACCACCAGTCATGTACGTGGTCCACGATAGCTTTAGCAGCAGACATGGCGCTGGACAACTTCCTGGCAGCGATCACCGCGGCTCCTCTCTGCTGGACCGTCTGTAATAACATGTAAGAGGTTAGTCATTTTCATTACCAGGTAACTTTACCATGAGTACCTGGTATATGAATTAGTTCTTATCTGTACATGTTGTTACTTTGTACAAATCAAAAATAAGCATTTGTTTTAGCATCTAGAGTTTAAAGAATCTGCTCAAATATGTCACACAATGTAAGGAGAAAACCTTATACCTCTTACTTAAAGAGCAAACCAAAAAGAATTTTCATTAAATGTAGTTTTGTTTAACATTTACTTGCTTTTAAACTCATAAACTTTAAAAACACTACCTTGACGAAGTCGTTTTTGACCCAGTTATCATCCTTGATGGCGTCACGAGCCTTGACTTCTTCCCCCTTCACGTTGACGACGGCGTAGGTCAGATCTGGATACTGTGTGGATGAATGGTTCCCCCAAATCACACAATTACGTACAGCGCTGTTAGGGACCCCTACACGGGCCGCCACCTATAAATAGACACCAATTAAACAGTCTGGAACAAAACTGTACGGGACCCCTAAACGGGTGGCCACTTATAAATAAACACAAGTAATCATATTCTGATATAAACCTTGAATTTTTCTCTTTTTCCAGTAAATTTACCTTAATGTTTTACTTCCCAATAAACTTATGAGTTTTTCAACTAAATTGTGTACACATAATGTATGTGTACTTATTAAAGTAAGCTTCATATACTTGGGGGTGGGTGGGTGGGTATATCTTACCTGTGCCTGTGCCCGGTTCTGGTCAGTATATCTTACCTGTGCCTGTGCCCGGTTCTGGTCAGTATATCTTACCTGTGCCTGTGCCCAGTTCTGGTCAGTGTATCTTACCTGTGCCTGTGCCCAGTTCTGGTCAGTATATCTTACCTGTGCCTGTGCCCGGTTCTGGTCAGTATATCTTACCTGTGCCTGTGCCCAGTTCTGGTCAGTGTATCTTACCTGTGCCTGTGCCCAGTTCTGGTCAGTATATCTTACCTGTGCCTGTGCCCGGTTCTGGTCAGTATATCTTACCTGTGCCTGTGCCCAGTTCTGGTCAGTGTATCTTACCTGTGCCTGTGCCCAGTTCTGGTCAGTATATCTTACCTGTGCCTGTGCCCGGTTCTGGTCAGTATATCTTACCTGTGCCTGTGCCCGGTTCTGGTCAGTATATCTTACCTGTGCCTGTGCCCGGTTCTGGTCAGTATATCTTACCTGTGCCTGTGCCCAGTTCTGGTCAGTATATCTTACCTGTGCCTGTGCCCGGTTCTGGTCAGTATATCTTACCTGTGCCTATGCCCGGTTCTGGTCAGTATATCTTACCTGTGCCCGGTTCTGGTCAGTATATCTTACCTGTGCCTGTGCCCGGTTCTGGTCAGTATATCTTACCTGTGCCTGTGCCCAGTTCTGGTCAGTATATCTTACCTGTGCCCGGTTCTGGTCAGTATATCTTACCTGTGCCTGTGCCCGGTTCTGGTCCAGCCTAGTCAGGGCGGTGAAGTTCTGGGGAGGGATGGAGGGGGCATACTTCTTACAGATGTAAGCGTTAGTGTTGGCTGGGTTACCTACCACCACCACCTACAATGTAATCCATAAAATCACTAACAACAAGAGATATGGAGGTTACCTAAAGAATTCACAATTACAGGTAGTGCTCAATAAATGGGCTACCAAAATATGCAACTACTGGGTGTGTCTGAATTCACAATTTTACAATAATCTCTTTTTTCAGGCTTGATTTTCTCGATTTCTTTTATTAAATAGAGTATAGAAAGAGTGGTCTACCTTGATATATATAATTAAAGTTTTCCCTTGATATTCTTTATTTGATTGGTTTTAATAGAGTTGTCTACCTTGATATAGTTTATTAGATAAGGTTTTAGCAGAGATGTCTACCTTGATATGCTGTTTGTTTGAGAGGGACAGAGTTGTCTACCTTGATATGCAGTTTTTTTTTAGGTACAGAGTTGTCTACCTTGATATTCTTTATTAGATAGAGTTTTTAGCCGAGTTGTGTACCTTGATATTTTTCTTGGCCACTTTATCGATGGCCTGCCCCTGAGACTTGAAGATCTTGACGTTGGCGGCCAGGAGGTCCTTCCTCTCCATTCCCTCGCGGCGAGGCATGGCCCCCACCAACATCGCCACATCTACGTCCTTAAAGGCCTCCATCTCATCACAGGAGGGGATCACCTCTACAAAACGGGTCAAGGTCATAGCTCTCAAGGTTATACAAGTCAGACAATTTACTACTCCATTATTTCACATGGTGTAGTTCTTTTGTATGCATTATTCATTGAGTAATATGGGCTACTGAATAAAAATATTGTAGTAATGTAATTTTATCTTTGATAAATAATTTCCCTTTAATAGGCTCAACCTCTGCAGATATTAAAATTTTACATAGTAATCTAAATATTTTCTGTTATATATTTCACTACAGTCACAGGATCCTCTTATCTTGTGTTTTAGTATTTGTTTGTTTTCTGCATAGCAACGGTGTCTCAGCAAATAATAATTTTAAAATATTATGTGTAACACACACTGAAATAGTAACATAGGCATTCTATATTGAGTGTAATGTAGGCATAATAAGCCTATACAATGTGATATATACGCTAAAGGTATTTAGTGACATGATAAGCCTATAGTACAATGTATTACATACGCTGGAGGAGGGGGAGGGAGCAGTCCATCAGCTCCATGACAACACCATTCAGGACCCCCATCATGGGAGCAATATCAAGGAGAACCAAAATGATTGGCTGAAAAATATAATTCTCATGTTAAAATCAGACATTCAACTAAATATTTAATGTTGCTTACCCAAAAACATAGACACCAAGAAATTAAAATGATTCGACAATGCATTTTTAAAAATTTCATCAAGATGCATATTGGTTATTAAGGTATCAGATGTACAAATGGGTAAAAATTAGAGCCTGGTGACCCCATTTTTTGATGTTCTAAAATTAATATATGGGTCATGACTGATAAAAAAATTAGGTCATCAGGGGCAACAACTCTTTTGGGGAGATAACTCTTGACCAAAATAAATTTATGTAAAAAAAATGATTTTATTTTTTTTAAAGAAGTTTATTTTTTCAAAGTCATACAATAATCATTTCCTTTCATAAAAATTAATTAAAATAAATCTAATAGTAATGATAAGATGTTTAATGTGAACTTATACACAAAAATTAGGCCAAAAAATGTGTACATGGTGAAGAAAATGTAAACACAAAAAAATTACTTATTATACTTATGAATTATTTGACAATGAAACAATACTGTTTTGAAAATTTTAAATACATGCATATTAAATTATTAATGAAAATATTTAACTAGTGAATTGTACTCTTTTTTAATTCGGTATAAAAAATGATGCATTTCATTTATATTCATAATTCTGAAGGAGCTTTTTTCATTATATGCATGAAAATACATCTACAATTCAGTCAATAAATGATTCATATAAAACATAAATTTTCACTAGTAGAATTAAAGCTGCTTGAATCAAGCTTTCAAACATACCACAAAGCATATCAATGGATTTTGGTACAACTAAATATGCATACATGTATATAATCTATATATGTCTGTATGATTATCATATGTACAGACATAAAAATGACTCAAACATTCCACAGTACATGTATATCAATTCATTTTGGTACAACTGAATAAATCATGTAGCAGAAAAGAATATATCTATACATATATATGTTATATCTCTATGACTGTATGATTGTACATCTATACAAAAATGAATATGATATAAACATATCAACTTATAACGGTACAACTGAATAAATCATGTTGAAGCAAAAAATTCACATAACTTAGGGATGACCGTTTGCAACACTTTAGATGTCGCAGTTACTCTGGGTTTGCCCTCACTGGTTTTGGAAGACAAAACACAGGTCAATCCATCTTCTCCATCTCTGTCGTAGATGAGCTTTAGGTGTGAGAGGCCAAGACCAGATCCAGCGATGTTCTCTGCTAAACTTGTCTTCAGGACACCTGTGCCGATCAACACATGTAGCGATCCAATGTTTTTAGATTTTTCAGCATTAAATATTTCTTGCTGAAAATGGCAATCACTACTGTATGAGTGCTTCATGACAGTTGAGCTACTAAAGTTTGCAGCACAGATAATCCTCGCTAACATAAGAACATCATCGACTGCATTGTGTGCATTGTAGTCTGGAAGACTAAAATGTCTTGCAAGGCATTCCTGCTTGTAACTTGGAAGCTTTGGAACATTTTTTCTCAAGACACTAAGAGAGTCAACAAATGCTGTAACAGTTTCTCGGAATACTTTCTGTAGGTTACACTTGTTAATTGCACTACATAAAACACGGAAATCAAAAACCCTTCCGTTATGTGCCACCAACACCACATCCCTGAATTTCTTCAGCCACTCCAGGAAGTTGTCCAAGGCTTCTTTGATGGGGATTGCAGCTACTCTCTGTCCTCTAACATATAGAGATGTTCCATCGAAGACAATACCTGTCGCTCTTTCGGCATTGGCATCCAACTGTTGTTTGGGAAGAACATATGCAGAAAATTGTTCCTTACTCTCTACATCAAGGCAAGCAATTTGTGTGATGTGAGGCATGCTGTTTCTTGATACTGGAAAAAGAAATATTATCAACAGTCATTCCATTATGTTAACCTGTGCTTATATCAAAATATATCCAACTTCATGTTTTTTTTTTTTTATTATTGGTAGAGATTGTGAATCATTAACAAATTCTTACTTAGTCCTGTTGTCTCCAAATCGATGACTACAAAATGTGGTTTACTAAGCTGTACTGGAGAAAAGGAAGGCTTTATAGTAGCATCAGGCACTCTGGTTATGCTCACATCAGTGCTCAGTCCAATCTCTGTAATAGATGATTACAAATGATTATGAATTTTCTGTTTATATGTAAATGCATCATAATTAAAACTTGGTTATGTACATGTATTTCAGTATACCCGATTGGTATGTTGAGCCCTCGGTAGCCTCTAAGGCCCCTTTATCCGTCAGCCTCTCCTGCTTTAGGATTAATCGTCTACGTTTTGTCTCTGGAAGCTTGGCCTTTGCCCTCTTCTTGGCCCTATATGAGTCTAGCTTAGCAGAATACTTGGCATTGAAATGACCTGGTGACAGGCCATTTTGTTTGAAAGTCTGAAATTGATGTAAAGCATGTTTATAATAAGAATCCTATCTTCCCTAAAAATATTTTCTCAATCTTTTATTCTATTCAATTTTTTGTAGCATTTTTAAAGTTACATGTATACATATATTATTCATTGCAATATCTATGTGTTAGTTTAAAATATAGTAATAGGAAAGAATGTAAATCATTTCTATCATGGAGGTACAAATGGAAAACATCAAATACCACAAGACACTCGTGAAAATGCAAGTAATGATTAAAAAACAAAACTAAAATTTGTAACTACCAACTCAATATGAAACAACAAAGCAACTTACAATCCAAAGAGGAAAGAAAACAACTGAAACTTCAACACTCAACACCAAAGTAGAACCTCTGAGAGATATTTCCTTCCAACATTTATGCTTGCAGCTGTTGCATGGATACGAAAGTCAAGGCTCTCACTCTCTCCATAATGCAAGTGCTTAGGGGCTTTAAGCATTGCGGCACGATTTGCATACTCACACGCCTGGCTTGAACCTAGGTCCACATACATTGCTGACTTGGCTATTATTGATTCAAAAATCAAGTTCAATTTCTCACGCAGTAAAGGGTCACTGAGGGGTGCTTTGTACGGCAAACTTCGATGACTATATTTCTCTGAGTTTCCTATGCGTTTGTAACCACAAAAACGTGCCTGACAATTACTGTGATCGCCAAACTGATGAGGAATTAGTGCTTTGAGGTTCTCTCGCATCCCATCTACATCACCTTTGTTTTTGCTAAATATGTACTTGATGCACTTATGAAGATGCTGAATAACCTGATTACTGAGACTCACTTCCTTTTTGTTGCGTAGGTCATACAAGACTTTGACAATGTTTTTAATACAATGATTTCTGTCAAGCTTTTTTTTAACAGTCACACCCATATTATTTTGCAAACGTGCAACAAGAGTGTTATCGCCATCACCCTCTATAGTATCAACAGGCGTACCTTGTTGGATCATGTCTTTGATGGCTTTCAGGCCTGCCTCACTTTCCATAGCCCTCGCAGATCCTTTGTGATTCCACACACACAATGTTCTCTAACTTTCAGCCCTGGTCTGTTCCTCCTCCACCATTTACATACTCCACAAGTACGGTGCTTTATGACAGTCTTCAGAACTTTATTTTCCTTGCTCATCATAAATGTATGACCTGAAAAAAAAAATCCATGTTGCATAAAGTGATTTATTAACAAACTTTCAAAACATAATAATATGTATATAAATATTTCTGTAAATTTGGAATATGATATAGAAAATATATGAAATAAAATTCATGATAATTATATCAGTTATAATTGATTTTTTGAATATATTTTCCAGATAATTCTTTTTTTTCATTACCTGTTAGACTGTCAAACCCTCTTTTCTGCCACCCATGATCGATACAAACTGTCATGCCTCTACGACTTTTAGGAGCGAAAGAAAGTTTCTTTTTAACTGCGGGATGTATCTTCTGTGTTTTATGGCCATCGTGAGTGATTCCTGGCATTCCTGAGCTATATAAAAATAAATTGAAAATAATTTATCTATATGACTATTTTATACCTCTTCAACAAAATGCTATCTGTATAATTCATCAATTTTCATTTCAAAGAAAAATAAATTACCCTTGGTGATGATCAAAAGTACCAGAAGATGCACATGTAATTTCATTTTGGGGGAAACTGTCTTCTGCGTTGCAATCAGGCTTAATTTTCTTGTCATTAGCATTGAGTTTGGACCTTCCAGAGCTACAAAATATTACCATAATTGATCATATTTGTATATTATGTACAATTATAAAAAAAATTGTATCATTTTCATTCATTATTTGTGCCGTGCCTTTTCTACATTTTAATATTTACCAATGGTCATGATCAAGGGGATCAAATGAGGTATCATGGTCAATTTCATTGGAAACTGATTCTGTCAGTCTGGAAACATCCCTGTAAAGAATAAAATCAGAAGTAATACAGGTGAAGACTGTTATGTACTGTTCATTGCTTTAATGACTATAATATTTTAAATCAAAATTTACCCAACAAATTCATCAGGAATTACTGCTATCCCTAAATCAGTGAACTCCTCCTTAAAATCATCCTCTTCTTTCTGTGAAACAGCTCTGAAATATGCAGTTATATATGAAGTTATTCTATGTTAAATTTTTGTTTGTAATTGTATTCAAAACATTAACGCTATTAGAAGCAGTTCTTCTTTTTAAAAAAGACATAAGCATGATTTTGATTACATCATTTCTTTCTCAAAGGCCATCAGACTTTCCTCCTTCATGTTTTCTTCTGCGTATTTTTCAATTATCTGTCCTGCTCTCCTCTCCATGACTTTTAAACTCCTGTTAATCAATGGTAAATCTAAGGTTGTAAGTAACGAAACTCAACAAAATAAGACGTAAACAACAAACAAAATGCATAGATTACATTAGAATGGCAATAACTATCTTCTAATTTGGTATTCGCAACTGTAAATGCTAACTTAATGGTCGCAAACTGAGTTTTACCTGTTATTAATGAATGGCAAATCTAGGGTTGTCAGAAGATTGTTCATTCTCTGCGGTCCACCAACACTGTCAATCATAGCTACAAGGAATATTTCAATCTTTTTATACAATTTACAACAGAATACAACATCATTTGTAACAATAAAAAGGTTTGAAATATGGAATCAACATACCTGCACCAACTTTCGTATTTATACAAAAGCTAGGCATCCCCTTTCCTTGCCCCTCGTCTTTGTGCGTTTTGCCATAGGGAATCCTGTTCAGCTTCAAACAAAAGGTACACTGTATGTATAGGTACCCGCCCAATCCAAGTTTCATCTCACCTTTTATGTTTCTTTTCGTTAGATATAGAGGCCCGCATTTACAGTGGCAGCAATTTTCCAGGGCATCTACAACTGTATTCCATTCGATAACGCGTCTGCCATTTCTCCAACCGTCTGAACTAAACTTCTTGCTATTTACAAGACTTTTCATGCCAGGAAAACACGTTTCGCATGTTTCTCCCTCACAAATGTGACCAAACACATAGTTGTGGTCCACTAACACATTAGTTTTCGGCGACTTTTTGAAGCGCCCTTTCTTGTTTCGTTTCAACATGGACGCCGCCATATTGAAAACTGTTTGTAACGACGTTACGAGATATTTAGATATTTTGTTTTTTAAACTCAAAAAATAATTTTCCGGTATCAACTTTGTCATCAAATTGCTAAATATCAGTATAAATGTTGTTAAATGAAAAAATATATTCATTTTAATTTTTTTTTACTTTTCCCCGAAATCTACCGAGATCGTTCCGGAAGATGCCGAGCTCTCGTGGTCAATTTTACATCCGATACCTTAATTTATTTCTACAATCTGATTCTGATTTTCATTGTATTCCAATACCGGTACATTTTTGAAACAGAGAATGTAATGAGAGTTTGTACCTGGTCCTTGCCAAAGACATCTCCCCTGGCTACAGAGTAAAGGAGGGAATAGGCAATCTGACCAGCAGCTCCTGTAACGAGGACTCTCAGGGGTTCAGCCTGCAATAGGTCAAAGGTCAATAGGTCACAATTAGGTCTAAATCAACATGATCAATGAAGTTTTTTTTTTAATCCTCATGTGGTAAATTATTCTGAATGATCAATAAATGTCAAATAAATAACATAATCAAGTGAGGGATTGATGGATTTAAAATTACTCTAAGACGTTCAATTACAGGGGACATCCTAATGTTGTAAGAGTGAAAAATTGAAAAGATAAACATTTTTAATTTAACAAAAGTAAAACAATATAAAATAAGCTTATAAATACAAGTGCAACACTGAATCCACTACTGTACTTCCTTGAATATTATGGGAGTGTTTAAACCGCTCAGACAGTAGAGTGACACCGAGACAGGTGTTTTAATCGCGATCTTACTTTCAATTAAAACGTTTTCTTCATTTTCATTTATTAAATTAGCTACTAACATTACAGAAACATTGAGATCCGCCACAGTACACGGAAAGGTCACAAAGACACGCACCTACATAATGGTTGACAGCTCGTTTCTAGGATTTTGCTGTCATAATCACACTTCATTCCGCAATGACAGTCAAATATTTTATCGTCTGAAGCAGAAAACTACATTATGTAGCCTAAAACAAACAAGAAATCCTTACTTACCATTCTGTCTGTTTACCGGTTTCTTTTTCCGTAGCCCACGAGAAGATGAAAGTTCAAGGTCAGAATTATAATTGAAACCGGAATGATCACAATGTGTAATTCCGGAAGAAGGAAATTTTTTTTCAATGCAATATGGGGATTTTAAAAAAATCATTTAATTACGTGATTAAGTTTCAAACAGGAAAAAAACAAAATATTCATAAAATTCTTATTAAAATTGGACGTGTATACAGGTAAAAAAGTAATTTAAGCATTACGTGTTTGTGTTACTGTTTGTATCGATTAAATGCCCCAGTCAGTGGTACTGCGACGTAAACAGAGGCCAGACGTGACTGACAACACGAGGTCGAGTTATTATTGACACGATTATTCTTTTACATCACCCTCTCTCCTCAGAATTAAGTATCGAAAAAGTCAACGTTGAGAAATTTTTAGATATTCGTTTGTGAGACACTATACCCCCCCCCCCCCCCCCACAAGCAGCTTTTGCCAAGAGCTTCAAAGTTTCTCAAATGCAAGTCAAATTCAAACGATCATCGTCAGAATTGTTGGTATCCAAAGAAATGTCTTGTCAAAAGGAATACATATCTGAAACCTAAAAGCTGTACTAGTAATTATTTAAAAGTTATGTACAAATTTGGTTTCTTTTTGTTTGTCTACAATTAAGTGAGTACATGTTTACAGTCCCTAAAGCCATAATGGTCAAAACTCAAAAGGTCAAAATATTTAAAGTTATTCATTGAAAGGTCGTGTCAGAATGAATACATTGAAAGCCCTCGCACTAACTGTTCAAAAGTTTTGGCAAGGTTAAAGTTAGGAATTTTTTGGTATAAGTACTTGGTCAAACTTCATGGTCTTTGCCTCGTTGGGGGAGTTCCACAGAATTTGATCTCTGGACCCTGACCTTGGAGTTTGACCTACATTTACAAAAAAACAATAATTCATATACTTCACATCTCGTATGAATTTTGACAAGACCTTTGAGTTGGTATAAATATTTTTGACCTTGACCTACGATTTTGACCTACTTTTTAAAAACTTAAACCTTGGTCATAATTTCTGAACAGATAGAACTAGGGTTTTCGTATTTCACAGGTATACTCCTTGTAACAAGACCTTCCCTTGGATACTTTTTATGCGCCCGGATCGATAGATCCGAGGCGTATATTGTTTTTGTCCTGTCTGTCTGTCTGTCTGTCTGTCTGTTTGTTTGTTTGTCCCCAAACTTTAACCTTTGCCATAACTTTTGAACCATGAAAGGTAGAAATTTCATATTTGGTATGCATACTTCATTAATGAAGGGCTTTCAATTGACACCAATATTAATGACCTTGTGACCTTGAATGTGATCTATATGCTAAAAATAACTTTTCTGTCTGCAGACTTTAACCTTCGCAAAAACTTTTAAACCATGAAAGATAGAGACTTCTTATTTAGTATGCATACTACACTTGTAAACTTAAGTTCTTTCAAATGACACCAAGGTCAATTACCTGGTGACCTTGACTGTGACCTATATACTAGAAATTATAGCTTTTTTGTAACTTTCATCATAACTTTTGAACCATAAAAGATAGAGACCTCATATTTGTTGTACATACTCCACTAATCAAGTTCTTTCCAATGACACCAAGGTCATTGACCTGGTGACCTTGACTGTGACCTATGCTAGTATGCTAAAAATTGTTTTTTAGATTTTTGTTGCCGCCGGTCGCATTGTGTTTCACAAACACATCTTGTTAATGTTAATTTTGGAGTTTGACATGCATTTGAGAGAATTCTCACCCTCGCCATACGGGGACATCAGTGTTTCACAAACACATCGATCTTGTTTACTTTTAAATCTTAACCTTTGAAAACTTGGACTTTCATATAAATGCATGATATCATAAAAGAATTAAACTATTTTCAATCTTTACCACAACCTGCCGTTGGGGTGGGGGCATCGGTATTTACAAACTCAAATCTTGTTTCAATATTTAGCAAGAACTGACCTCGCCAAACACAGGCACGTACGTACAAAGCATCGATTTTGAAAGTAGCCATTTATTATTTTTTTTACTTACCTGAAAAAGTTGACAAGCAAAATAAAAAAGGACAAATGCCTTGCTGTAGTAAACAGGGGCAAAACAGTCTTTCAATGAATATTTCAACAGTAAAAGTATTGTTGGGAAAAAGGGGGAAAAGCCCCCCTTGAACCCCCCCCCATTGCGTGCCTGAAACAGCATGGCATTGATCTCTCTTTAACTCATGTATGATGTCTAGCGTATGAAAATTATAAAATCAGTAATAATCGGAATCGAAATCGTTTAATTTGTTTCATAATTTGTTTCAGCCATGATCGTACACTGTAAAAAATGTGTTTAGAGTCTAAACATTTTTCTAAACACTTTTCTTGTAGACAGATTTTTAACATGTTTAGTACTTGAACACATTTATTTTCTAAACATGTTTAGGTATCCGTTTAATTTCTAAACATGTGCCTGTTGAAGCTTGCGTTTACGGCCTAAACGTGTTTAGAATTTAAATATGTTAAACTATTAAACATGAAAATATGCAATCAAATTAAAGAATTAGATCTATTATCCATACATGGTACACTTATAATATAACGATCCTATAGTAAAGCAACGTACTTATCTCTATACAAATTACAAAGAACTTCAGAGTGGTGTTTTATATTTATTAATACTTTATTAGAAAATTAAATTAAAATATGTTTAACATTTTATCCATCTAAGAAAAGTCTTTTTTTTTTTTTTTGCAAACTCATACATTCTATACAGCATGCCACAAAACCTTCGAAATACGTATTTCAGTTTTCAAACTCTTTTGTCTTTTAGTTTTTTTTACTTATTTGTTTTCTATGTCACCGAGATACAAATGGTAAACCGTCCAGAATTTGAAAGTATTCGGATACAACAAAGGCCCCGGTTCAGCGAGTTCACGTTAGTGGACCCCATTATCTCCAGTCCTCTTCCAATAATGCTATTTTTTCCCTCTGTGATGATCATCAACTTGGCTGGATCCTTACGTTTCTTGCTTTTAGTAGAATGCTGTTTTTCTGCAAAAATAATTATAGTAAAATTAAAAAAAAAATTACACAAACAAAACAAATATAACGGACAAAATTTCAATCTTAATACGATAGAAGGAAACAGTTCAAGGGGAGGAATTGATAGATAACAAACAACTTAGACACAATGAAATAAAGTACAAGTTGCATAAATTTACCTTGTACATGTACCAATGATCCAATCCAGTGATTCTTTGGCCCCTAGCCTTTCTGCTGGAAGTATATGTTTTCTCTGTGTGGTTAAAAGTCTTTTTTCAACCTCTCCATCATTTTTCTCTAGTATATTAAATAAAATAATTTTCAATTATTAATTGCGTTTCATGTAAAAGCATTGTATTTATTTTATCCAAGATATCTTTGTGTGTAGAGGACACATACAACACACGATATAATTATATAAGATACTGATTTTCTCTTTGTTGAAAGTTAAAGTCCCTAAGCTTATCCGTTATTTTATAACTTTATTATGAATAGTAAAACGGTATCAATTAAAAATGGTGTTCATTAATATTGTACATGTACCTTTTAGTAAAGAATGCAAGATCCTACGATAAACAAATACTGCTGACATTGTTTACCTCTCTCGTCAAGCTCAAATTTTGTAAATAAATTCATACAAACCTTCTAAATCACAGTTTTCAAGAAGCATCCCTCGTGTATTTCACTTAATCTGCAACAGTCGTATCTTGAATTTCTATCATTTTGAAAGGATAAACGGTTTTCTCTGAATGCTGAGATTTTCTTTGTTCGACAACCGCGTTAATTCATGTTTGAATATATCTCGATCATTTCCGGGAAGACAACTCCGTATTTCACTGACTGAAGAATGAAACACGTGTTTAATTTCTAAACGTGTTTAGGTATTAAATACTTCAGACCGAAGTGTTTAGTTGTTAAACATAATATTAAACATGTTTAGATGTAAACATGTAATGGTAGTGTTTATTTCCTAAGCACATTTTTTACAGTGTAGAAACTCGGCGTGGGTGGGGCATGGGGTGCTCAATCTATACATGTAGCATATATACAATGGAAAGCAAGGCTA